CGCACTATTACGGATTCTGGATGTTTGGGGGGGCGGGTTACTAATCAGGAGCCAACATTAATCGTCGAAGATTATACACTCATACTTTGACTGTACCCTAAGGCTCCCAAAGAGGGTCTCAACCCTAAACCCTCGACCCTACACCCTAACCTTCAACCCTAATCCCGCAACCCTAACCCCTAAACCTTCAAGCCTAATTCCGAAACCCTCAACCCTAAACCCTAAACCCCATCATTCCCGGATTTCACAAGCCCACGGGCAAAGGATCGTTCGTCTCTTGGTGGAGAACAGCGCGAACCCCGAGTCGGAGGCCTTGGTCGGTTGCCAAAGGGTCCTACGCACTACCTATAGTCTCCATTGTAGTTTCTTTTTTGGCATTTGGTTTCGCCAATTATATATTAAGGAAGGTATAAGGTCTCCCCAAAAAGGAACTACAATGGAGACTTAAGGGCAGGGTTTGGGGTTTAGGCGTTTAGGGTTACCGTCATGGGTTCTTTGAGGGTTCCTTAGGTTCCTTTAAGGCCTCTGTAAGATCTCTCTGGGTGCCTGTGAGGGTTCCTTTAAGTTTATGAGGGATACTTGCCTAAATCATACTAGTAAATCCTAGTATGGAAACCCTACCCTCGAAAGAGAAGCCGAGGGCCTTGAAGAGGCAGCGGCTTTGTCGACGTGTTGGTGTGCACATGATCCCCACGGGTCCTACGGTTGATGATCAAAATCCTGCACAACCCAGAATAAGGAACATACCATAATTCCCATAGCTTAGGGTCCTTAAGGTAATGCAGGATTTATATCATCACCAGTATGTACTGCTATGGGGGATTCTTCCCTACTTCATAATGGTAATTCCGAATATAGAAACCTTCATTCTACTTTTGATACATAGGTCCTTTTGGGGATTGACGGGGAAATCAAGCCGCAGCCGCAAAACTGGAGCTGCTTCCCGCCGAACTTGAAGTGAGCGGTATCGGTTTAGGGTTTAGGGTTAGGGGTTAGGGTTAAGGGTTTGGGGTTTAGGGTATTTTGAGCCAGGCCACTGTTGATGGCAAGCTCCATTACTACCCCATTCACGATGCAGCTCCTCGACCGGAATACCAGAGACTTGGTGTCTTTCAGGGTTCAGGCCCTGGGCTTTTCTATTTTTTTAAGGCTTCTATATGACCCTGAATCCCTATAAACCCTTAACCCCCAAACCCTCACATCATGGACATGCAGGTTGAGGCCGATAGCGGAAGGGTGTACTACTGTAGCGGCCATGCATAGTGCCACAAAGAAAGCTGCCCCAACTCTTTTAAGTGGCTTTCCACAGAACACATAAGCCTGAACACATGTTTAAATCCAAAACCTTTTGAATTTCCCCTATCATGTCTAATTATGGAAACGGCTGCATCAGGACTTCTACATGACATCAGCATCAGTTTGAAGGCTACCCTGCCCTGCCCTGCCCTGCCCTGCCCTGCCCTGCCCTGCCCTACTCTTTGGCTCCGCTGCCGTAGCATAGTAGTAGGACGTGAGCCCCCTAAAGCAGCGGAGCCCACTAGGGTCATGAAAACCCGGAACATCCAACCTTTTTCAGGAAGCTTAGTTCTCCGATACCAAACCTTTAACCTTTTTGGGATCTTATAGTTTAGTAGTAACCTGCAAGTTTAGCCCTTTAATTCCTCTCGCTTGTTGGGGAAGTAAGGAAGAGGCAGGATCTGAGGGTAATTGATTTCCTAGCCTCCTTGAGTCGGCACGGCGAACTCCTGATCCGTTATGGTCCCCAGGGCTTTGGGTTTAGGGCTTGGGGGTTTAGGGTTCAGGGGCTTAGGGGCTTTGGGTTTAGGGCTTGGGGGTTTAGGGTTTAGGGGCTTAGGGGCTTTGGGTTCAGGGTTTACTCCTGATCCTGTCCCTTAAAACCTAGATCCTGAACATCCCTGGCCCACCAAGGGCAGGAAGTCTGCGTTCGGAACGTCCCCGATTGCATCCTTAAGAAAAGACCCCGAGCATCCATAAATCCCGAGCTCTAGACCCTAAATTTTAAATATTCCGGGCTTCTTTGGGGGCTGTGGCTTCTCGGTCACAGGGTCGACGGTTCCATGCAGTTGGGTTCAGGAGCGCCGTAATTACATAACTATACGAAAAGAAGGCCCCAAAAACCTGTTCTGAAAGGACTACGGGAGGTTTTTATGGTTCAAGGAGAGCTTACGGAATTTATGGGGATCTTTCTTTCGAGGTTGCCTGCTGAGGTCCTTGAAGGGGTTCTATGATTCTGATGAATTTGGTTCCAACACATGCGGGTTACTACTCGGGTTTAGGGTTTAGGGTGTTGATCCATCTTGTTTGTCCCGGTTTCCGTCCAGAAGTTTACAGGCATTTTGGGTTTAGCGTGGCAAGGTTCGCCGGTCTTCCGTATATGGCAGCCGAAGTCGTGTACTACTTAACAGCTATCACGTACATCTTCCACAGTGGCTACTGTCACAGTCTCCATTACACTGTAGTTGGCTCACCACGTCTTTTCGTGCGTCGTGTTGCATCTTCGTCCCGGATGGTTGCACTTGCTCGAATTCTAGTGATGAGTGGTGTCTGTCTGTTTTACTCAGGGAACTTGAAAGCCCTAAACCGCCCCAAGCCCTAAAGCTATTGAATATTCCTGTTCTATACTATACTGTAAGCCCTAGAACCCCGAAGCACTAACAGCCCATACCCTGACTCTACCCTAGACATCCCCAGACCCTGATGCCTGAAGCTTAAAACGAATGCGTGCATCCTGAACCCTGGCGACTTGATTTTCTGCTCTATCCCTGCAGTTGCGTTGGACCTTGCGAATCAAATCGGCGCAGAGTTGTGGTGGCCTTTGCAAATCAAATCGGCAGAGCCAGCTCAAGGAGCAAAGGTTGTTTCTTGTTTGAGGCCTTTTGGTGCAGATTACATAGGATAGTTAGTTATATAGGAACTGCAATTACAAAGGGGATAAGCTTACATCACTATTCAGATCCAGATATTAGCCATGCTTCGTCCGCTGGCGTTGCTTGCTTGGCTCGCCGGCGCAGTTGCATTGCCATCGTCATGCCGCCAACACTGGGAGGATCCACAGATGAGGGCGCATCTCTTATGGCAGAGTCTACGTTGTGTGGGGCAGGCCGGCGCTGAGATACATGCCCAGCGCTGTATCTTTGTCATAGTTGGGCAACACTTTACATGTTCAAGGGTACTTAAACCCAATAAGGAATATAAATTTAAAATCTTAATACTACCCCAACCATGAACAAGGTATGGGTATAGTTTGCAGTTGGACCGTGATCAAGGCAGAGACTCCCGAATGTGCGACGAGGACCTCGTGCGCAGCAGCTTGCGACAAGGCAGAAGGTTGCAGTGACTTCAGCCGCTTCTGTGGCGCCATTACAGCCCAGGGTTCCACCTTCTTCCTTTCCGCTGCAAAAGACCAACCTCTCGTAAACTCCACGGCCCTCATGGACACTACTTCGGCAAATCGCAGCGTGCAGGCTCATCTTTCCACACACATCCAGACCTTGCTGCTCCACGATGCAGCAGTACAGGACACGCCAGGATTCCCTAAGAACTTGGGCTCGGGCCTCGTGTTCTGCATCGCTTTTCTAGTAATTTTGGCCTTATCCTTAGCCTTTACAGCCTTTTGGGCTAGGACGTCCCGGCCCGAAGGGGCAGAGCCCCTGCTGGGCTAAGTAGGCTTGCACTTCTGCTCCAGCAATACCGGCGTTACATGTGTTTCTGGATTTTGTTTTGCCTTTGGGGTGATTCCATGATTTCGACGAGATTTCGGGATACGAAATAGTGACAATCAAGGTTGCAGATCAATGATTATGATGTCGACTGCTCTGAGCAGTGAAACGCTCGCATGCTTTGTATGTTGCGGCGCGTCACCAGGTCCTGATGACGGGCTTTAGAGATATTGGTGTTTGAAGTATTTTGGGCAGTATGGCACATCCGGGCTCTTGTGTGATCTGTGCTCGCTAATGACACAGGTGTCGCAGCATCCGAAGTATCACGAGACAGGCCGTCTCCTTATGCAGCTCTGTAGAATTTACAAAGCTGTTCCGATGAAAGGTGCGCAGAGCCTTGAACAACGATTTCGCTCGGGGGGGGGGGGGGGGGGGGGNNGCCTGAGTTGTCCAAGCGCCGATTTGCGATATAAACTCTAAACCCATACTTCGAATGTATAGGGGCTACCTTTACCCTTGTCGTTTTGGGCATATATGGTCCATAGAAACAGAGGTTGTAAACCCTAAACCCTAGAACTCACCCCAAACCGGTAGGTTCGGGCTGTAGCCTTCAAGATCCTTCAACTTAACGGTTTAGGGTTTTGGGTTTAGGGAATTCTGTATGGGGTCCTTTTTTTGGAGCAGATGTTAGAACAGCAAGGATCCTCGTAGCCCATCACATAGGCTTCATCGGAGAGTCCTTCATGTGCTGAACTCTGCATGTTGAAGAAGCATAGACGAAACTTTTCCTTATCACTTATACCTGGTCAAGACCTGATGCCTCGATCGCTGAAGTAATAGCAAGATCCGCAAGTCAAAAACCCTGAAGCCGAAACCCTCCGGTATGTGTGTTTGTTGTTGCTTGCCGATCTGGCCAGAATGCGAATGAATGAACCCTTATAGCATTATAACTCTTTCCCAGCCCTTTTCGGCTTCCTGCAAGGGCGACCATGAGGGTTATTACGAGGGATTCTTTAAGGGCTCCTTCAAGGAAGCCCTATTCGGCTTATTATAAGGCCCGGATGTCAACCAGATAAAGTCGAAGCCCTAAACGCCAAACTCTTACAGCAACCCATTCTTACGTCGTAACCCTAAACCCTACACGCCTTTGTAGAGCCCATATAATCCCTTCGACAGGAACCCTAAAAGATCCCTTTAACGGAACCCCTTTAACGGAACCCTGATGGAATACCCACGACCGTCGAGTCACCAAGGTCTGGTTCAACCAGATCAAATCGGTGAAGATGCTCCTCCAGAGGAAGGCAAAAGTCCACGCTCCTCTGCTGCCGTTTGCTTGCGGTTTAGGTTTTAGGGTTTAAGGTTTAGGGTTTGGGGTTTTGTTTCTTGTAGGATGTAGTGTATGTTGGGTTTAAGGTTTAAGGGTGGAGTTTTCCCCTCAACAACAACTACATCGAAAGCATGTTTGTCCAAGCAAGCACTCTTAGTACCCTAAACGGTACCCGTACAATACCCTCACGAGGAACACTTAAATCACCCCACTCGACTCGTTTCGTACCCTGAAGGATACTCCGCAAGCATCTCCCTAAACCCTAAACCCTATAAGCCCTAAACTCTGCCCGAGGCTGAAAACAATGACAAGAACACCGCCCTGCACCTGGCAGCGATGCTGGGCCACGCCGGGTCCTCTCACAGGGTCGTCCCCTAAACCCTCATGATCTCAAACCCTACCTATAGTCTCCATTGTAGTTCCTTTTTGGGGGATACCTTATAAAATCCTTAGTATTTATATAATTGGTTAAACCCCAAAAGAGGAACTACAATGGAGACTATAGGTAAACCCCAAACCCTAATTGACCCTAAACCCAGAATGAAACTGAAAATCTCGGGTTTGCGGGGTTCTTGTTCGGTTGTGGGGTTCCTGTGGGCACTATCTTTTAAGGTTCTGTAGCCGCTGCTCTTCATGGGTCTTATAGTGTAAAGGGAAGGGTCCCTGGTTTATGGTATTTGGAGTTGGGGCCTGGTTTTTCAGAGTTTTTTGAAGTCGAAAACCCTCACTTTGGCAAGCTTGAACGCCCGGAACGTTTGTTGAGACTTTGCTTGACATCATTCTGTAGCTCTTTATCCAACCCTTCCCAACATTTTGCCGGACCGTGAAAACTCGGGTTTGGGATCAGGCTCCGGGCCACACTGACGAGTTTTTTTGGCACATCTCTTAAAGCTTTTGAATGATCGAGGGTTCTTCCTAGACTTTAAAGGATATTCCTTAATCACCGGGTGTTGGCGTCTACCGGTTCGTCGGATCCTTGGGAGAATACGAGCTTCGCACGGTAGAAGCCCGGCACGTGCTTTCTTCGAGGCATGTTTAGGGTTGAGGGTTCCGAGAGACTCCAAAACAGCTTTCAAGAACGTATCTTGAAACCCTCAACCCTAAACCCTATAATTTCAAGGATCCCTCCAAAATCTGGGGTGCTCTGCACCCCTAAGCTTCAGGCATCATGAGTTGGTGCTTGTGGGTTGGAGTTTAGGTTTATTAGGGCCGGTTGAGGGTTCGGGACTTAGGTCATGGTATTGTTGGATTTATGGTTCGGGATTTAGATCATTGAATCATGGTATTGTTGGATTTATGGTGTAGGGTGCAGTGATAAATTTGAGACAGCTTTTGTATATAGTGCTCCTTTCCTTGTGAAAGGGTATGCACACTGCGCTAGTCTCTCGGGATGGATACTGCAGATGCTTCGTGCTTCATTTTTTGCATGTTTTTGCGTTCGTCTGCTTGCCTATTATTGCATGTAATGCCATTACTTACAGGCACACCTGGATGCCGTTCTTAACCCCCGCCTCTGTAGGAAGAGCAGGGTACTTGGAGGGTCGGGGGACTTAGTAAGTAGTTAGTTTATAGAGTTATAAGTATCATAAACCCAATTAGGATCCCTATTAGGGTACTTATAAGTCCACTTACTACCCACTTACTGTACTAAGTCCCCCGACCCTCCAAGTAGGCATTAGGGAGAGTGTTTGAAAAACCTGTGCGCCCAAGACCCTGCAAGGGCGGGCGCAAGGACTCATAGCGCCCAGGCACGGCTACTTTAATTTGTTCAGACTAACCCTAAGGGTCCATGTATTGATATAGTATATACATTGGGTTCAAAGTACCTATATAGGGACTACTTTAAGGCCAAAGTATCTACTATTTGGGTACATGGACCCTTAGGGTAACATGAATCACGATGGAGTGTGGATTGTCCTCTCCCCTTCGAACACAAAAAAGCAGACCCTGCGATGTAATCAGCTTTTCTGTGATTCTGAGGACGACATGGTTGAGTTCTTGCTCTACGAGCGCACGACCTTTCTGAAGATGAAGGAAAGAGGGCTTAGGGGTTGAGGGTTTAGGCTTTAGGACTTCGGGCATGAGGGTTTAGGGTATCGGGGGTTTAATCTTGATTGAGGGCTTATATGACCTGCATCTAGCCGCTTGTCCCTCAGACTTCACGTACCTATGTTGCGCCCTAAAGTCTATGAGCAGTACCACTTTGGGCTAATTGGTCGGATCACCAACTTATGTACCATTACAACAACTTTTGCTCTGACAGTTACCGCCGTTTATTATCATGCAAATTATTCCTTGAACCTACAGACAAACAAGAGCATCCGTAGATGCACACATCGTGTATACATATTCCTATTTGTTTACCTTTCAAGTTGAACGTATGCATATAAAGCATAAACATGCACACACGCACACACACACACACACATATACACACACCTGTTTGCATATATACATGATACATGTGCACACTGTTTACTCCTTCATGTCCGTGTGTGTGCCCCTCCTTCTACCCAAACGGAGGACGGGACCTCGAAGAAGGACGGGGCAAAGCGTGAAAACAAGCTCCTGGTGACCAGCTTCCCAGACGCAAGAGTACCAGGACCCTCCTTATACCCCAAAACGGTCCCTACTAGTAGGCATTTAGAATAATTAGAGGGCATAAGGAGGGGCGTAGGTAGGCGTTCTGGGCTTCCGGGCTTCGGGGCGCAAGGAAAGGGGGTCTAAGGTCTTTGGTCAACTTGTCCCTCTCTCTCCGAATGTATATATATATATATATATATCTGTATATATATATATATATATATCGTTATATGTGTGTGTATATATATATATATGTATATCCAACTTCTCGTAGGCTCTCATTGTTTAACCCTAATAGACTACTTAGTGTGATCTTACGAAACAGCAGGAAGTTCTGCTAGTTGAAGAAAGGGGTCTGATGTACCGGGAAAACTTGTCTTCAGCCTTCATGAACCCCAAATCTCTAGGCTCATGAGATCCTATAGACATCCTTGGTTTAGAGGTTAGGGCTTAGGAGTGTAGGGCCTAAGCTCGACCCCCCAAACTCTTCAACCCTCACCCCCACAAGCCAGAGAGTTTAGACCCTCCTTGGCTAAAAGGCTCCTCAACAAAGCATTCTACCTATAGTCTCCATCGTAGTTCCTTTTTGGGGATACCTTGTAAAATCCTTAATGTATACTTGGTTAAACCAAAAAAAGGAACTACAATGGAGACTATAGGCATCAGAGCTCGGAATTCAGAATCATCTCCTTTGGCCCTTCATAAGATCCCACAGGTCAACGCCGCCTTAGCCCTAAACCCTGCACCTTGAGCTCTCAACCAGGGATCTTGAAGGCCCTGAATGTCGACCTGGGGGTCATCAAGGTAGACATTCTGAAGCCTTACACCCTTATGGGCCCTTCATCGAACCCTGATAGGAACCCTTTTGAACGACATGAAGCCCCATAACATCCTCAAAACCCTAAAGGCCCTAAACCCTATAAACCCTAAACCCGAACCCTAAACCCTAAACCGCCTCATGCACGCCCGGGATCGGGCCAAGGCACCAATCGAGAGGGCAAGGATGCTTTGCAGCTCGCGGTGGAGAAGGGGCCGCCTGCCTGGCTTAGGGGGTCGTCGAGGGGGCTTGCAGGGGGTCAAGATTAAAGTCCGT